ATAAATTCAAAAACTCGCTACCGAGCAATGAGCGGTTGCTAACGACAGCTGAAAACCCTCTCTGGCAGGCAAACCCTATTTTGTTGAAACTAAAATTTCCAACGAATTCGTATTTTAATGTGCCCATAATTACAGTTACCGTATAATTATTAGAGAAATTATTATTAAATTGGCGAATCATTATCATCATCTTCTTCGCCTTATATCACAAGCTCAAAATAATCTGGGATGGAAGGGTGCTTGATAAAATATATGTTTGTGCTTAAATTTATTTGGGATAGGTATGAACATATGTATGTATGTATGTAAAACGAATCCGAACCTTTATGCATGCATTTTGGAAAAGTGCTGAGAGTTCAAGTTGTTAATACATTTAAAATATAATAACATTGAAAATTTGTATCCACTTGTTTTTTTTATGTAATCTATATAATTACGTTTGTAAACGAAATGTTCTTTTAAAAGTTGTATATGCCAACTTATCAAGAAATAAATTTTAAAATTACATACACGTGTATATACGGGTCCAAACCTTGGTGTAGTTTCAATTTAATTATTTGGATACTTCTTACTGGTAGAATTAATAGTAAACTAGATTCGTTGAAAATCGTATAACAGGTAGAAAGAAAGCGTTCCCAGCCCTATAAAGTATATATTATATCTATATATCAGGATCAATAGCCGAGTCGGTCTGGCCCTGTCCGTCAATTCAATTTCAAGAACTATAAAAGCTAGAAAGTTGAGATAATATATTACATGCGGATACCAGAGACATTGACTTAGCACAAGTTTTTTTTCTGTTGTTGACACACGGGTGGCCGCGATTGTTTTCTCCTTTACAAGCAAATACAAATTTCGTTGTCTTAGACGATTTAAAATCAAAGAGAGTGCCGATCAACAATATTTAATAATAATTCGTATATCTAGACTGAAATTCTTTAAAATACTCTCCATACAGTGACCAATATTCAAATAGCATTAGGAACTGTACATAACACTTGGTCATGGCCTAAGAAAAAGTAAAGAGCTTCACCTTAATTTATAAAACCCAGCCCTTCCCTTCAGCAATAATCACTCTTAATTATGAGTGAAGTAGCGTCTCCACAACTTCCGCTGCGTTTATAACGATTCCATTGCTTTCAGTCATCTTCGTTTGGTTTAAATCTTGCTCAATTTAAAAAATCGTCGAAACAAGTTGAGACAGAAAAAAATATCCGAAATATCTTTGATTAATGTTACTGGATATATATTTTTTTAATATTTATAATGCAGTTATTCAAAAATAATTTATGCTCGTCCATAAAATAATACATTTTATATATATTCGTGATCAGGATCGAAAGCATTTCCCACCACACCAACTACCGATATATACGTGGAAAATAATTTATGCTCGTCCATGAAATAATACATTTTATATATATTCGTGATTATCGAAAACATTCCCCACCACACCAACTACCGATATATACGTGGAGGAAAATATTTATTTAAAAAAAAAACGTATTTAATTCACGAGCGCCCAGACATCAAGTAAGTTTTCAACTCTGCAACTTAATGCTTAACTAAATTAACTTTTATAGACATAAATCTTTAATGGTTCTTGAGATTTTTTTTTTTGAGAGTCCCACGGCTAGAACTCCTGCCCAACCGATCGAGCAAAAAAGTTAGTTAGTAGACCGAAAAAAGTTAGTATTGATCGCTTTAAGAGCGGCAGAGAGTCAGGATTAGAAATAATAGGATAAAGTCTATTATAATCAGAACGTAATACTCTGTAGAGTATCTACAATGATTTAAAAATTAGGGGTAAGTAGTTTCTAGCGAATCTGCTTGGAACAGAGAAGTTTAGCCGACTAACCAAGTTGAGACTATCAACTGCACCACATTTCAAATTACAAATAAAGACTGTTGCAAGCATTGTTCTACGGTTAGCTAGGGAAGGTAAATTTATTAACATTAGTCTACTGGAATAAGGAGGTTTGCATACCAATTTAGGCGGCGAAGGCAAACAGTAAGATGTTTTTTTACTGATTCAACGCGGTCCGAGTGAACTCCGTTCTGCGGACTCCAAACGGGTGATCCATCCTCAGGAATCGGTCGGACTAGCGAAATATGGTCTGACGGACGTTTATAAATCCATACGACTTTGTTTAAACTAAAACCGAATTTATACATATATTGTCGCAAGTGATATGTAACAAAATAGAACACTTTATGATACCAAATATCGGGCGCAAATTATGTTCTTAATATTTTTTTCTGATTATTATTATATTATATTATATGAACTTATATACTACCTGCAATAATGCAAATTAATGCAACTTTTGGAGAGTTTCATCTCAACGATCTTGATTTTATTATTATACCCGTTACTCGCACAGTAAAAGGAAATAGTCTGTCAGTCGGGGAACTCCACTATAGCATTCTCTCTTGTTTTCGATCTCAAATATAGCCAAGATAGCCATTCCCCGTTTACAAATGACTATAGATTTTTTATTTGATCGATTTTAAGAAGTCTTCTCGCTTTCGAGAAGCAACGAATTCTCTCCCAACTTAAAATGCATATTATTTTTATAAATAAATGATACAATATTTTTATATTTTACAAAATTTTATTTTATCTCATTTCGACGTTTGAAGACGTTTGTGTAGACATATGGACGTGGGTATATCGACTCGGTTGTTGATACATACTTGTTTTGTAAGGTTGCCCAATTCAACACCTACAAACCAGCCAATCCAATCACGCCCACACCTTTGAGAAAAACATTTTGGCTCACAACCAGCAAAAAGTTGTATCGATCATCATTTTGAAAAATGAAATCTCTTACTGGCACATTAACTAGCTGAGTAACTCTTAACTGATAGTCGAGGAACTCGACTGTATCCTTCTCACTCGTTTTTATTAATTTTCCGACTGTTTATGCAGCAACATATATGAAATACTCTTTAGATTTTTTGCAAATTAAGAATTATACATTATTAGAAAGCTGGTGTATACCGATACTGCGTAGCCAACCTCTGACTGAAATTAATAAACCCTCTACAAGGGTATAAAGCAGCCTTTGGAGAAGTATGATAAAAGTGTCGGTGTCACCATTAAAACAATAAGTTTCGGATTACAAAGTTAGTGACCATTGTTAGTAACAATTACAAAACAAGTATTACGAATAATTTTAAACATACATAGAGTATTTTTGAAAAATTTTCTCCAATAACATTTCTGTAAGCTTCATAAGACAGTGTACATGCTCTAAAAATCAACGCACCTTAAAGACAATTTATATACTGTCATATAGAGCCTAGACTGAGGCTTTACATCTGAAGCAAATTTGTATTTCGATGAAGACTGGTCTAAAACTGCCTTGAATTTAATCTCCACCGCTACTGATAAAGCGAAATTCCTAAATGGAATACAGTTCTTACTTCAAGAGTAAGAATAATATTATAAAAACCTCTGAAAGGGTATACAAAATGTTACAGAAATAATCTGTTTAGGGTCCATGTGTACGTGTCTGGTGTTGGCGAGCACAACTTTAAAGCGGTAAAGCTGCTTCAATAACAGAAATATCCGTTTGTCACGATGGGTGTCACTGGCGAAGTACGTGTCCCGCTTTTACCCAACCCGTGTTTTCCCAATTTAACGAAAACTCAGTGATGCTCTGTGAATTTAAAATACTTTAACAGCTTTTATGTTTTGTGGGCAAGGGCTACCAAATTCGTAGTGTCCACTTTTACATAACTTAGCACATGTCGATGACTTTTTTGGGTACTCCAGTTTGTTCGCTACAAGTATCGATAAATGTTTAATGTATAAGATAGATTTTTGCGATCTAGTGCATTTATACATAGGTATAATAAGGAGTATGTAGTTAATTCAAATTCTAAAATGCTAGTTTCTTCTTTTCAGAAAACTCCTATTCTGTTAAGGGGTGACTATGCGATTGACTCAATAAATTGGTAAGTTCTACTTAATATTACACAATATTTTGGGTTTTAAGAATTCAAGTTTAGAATTTTCAAAAATATATACGAATGTATACGAATGCTGAAGATATATTTTAAAATATCATTGTCATCATAATATTTCTTTAGACCAATTTTGTTATGTTCAACAATTTGGCCGCTGGTTTGCAACTCACGGTGTGGTGGTCACATAGTTACAAAGTGTTTACCAAACACTGAGCTCCCGATTTAACGGCTTAACAGCGCAACCGTCCCGCCATTTCTGTCTTTTCAAACCAGCTAAAATCACAATCCCCAATCCAATTTCGACTTCAGTACCAGTCTCTACTCACAAGATCCGTATTGTGTTCAGCCTATGGAGCTCCATACATCACTTTGTTCTCAGAAAAAAAAAGGCACAGAAAACAATTCCTTTAATAAAATACAATACATTTTTCTTCATCTTTGTTTTTGTCCCCTTTTGATATTGTATATATACGTGTGTGTTTTCAGTTTTATTATTTCTGTATTGCTGTATTACTTCTTTTTTGATGCCCTTGTTGGTTCTTTGAATCAAAATTCCAATTCCCGTGGAAATCCTCGTCTTCATCCTGTGTGCTGGTCATTGCTATTTATGATGTCAGGGATTCAAATTGTTAACTGCCACTTCACCAACACGACTAATAACTAGTCCTTTGCTAGTTGTATATGTGTTCATATACGTTCTTTTGGTATTTACCTTTATGAATACGTCATACGAGGTGAATACATCAAAGGCAAATGGTTTCAATAGAAAAAATAAATCAAAGATCAAATATAAGAAGTTCATTAAAACGAGAGTCGAAGATTATATAAAAATTGAATAAAAATGTTCATTTAAATTTAATAGAATTTAATTTTAATATTTTTTTATTTTTTCTGGATACATGTATGACAAAAGTAATAAGGACTACGTTAACACTCGATCTTCGGCTGCAGTTGTTACCTTTTTATGGCAGGCAGGCCTGCAATTAACATATTCATGCGGCGAAAACAATCGGCGACAATTTTAATGAACGTTAAAAGTAAATTTATTGGCCTTTTTCTGTACTCCATTCGTAAATTTTGAAAACAGTTCATCAAGTGAAACTTTTTGATCTCGTCTCGATCCCAGGAACTCATACCGCTTAGCTTTCGCCTTCTGGTTTTCTTTATGTCGCTGTCCTTTGCCTCCCCAGGTATATCGTATCGATTCATTGATCTTACCGAAATGAATGATTGTGGGGACTCTGGAAGAATCAAATGGGCACATATACATGCACATATACATACATGAATAAATACTTCTAAAAACGAATCAACACAAACAAAGCCAGCGACAAAGGGGAATAACAATGCAAGCTCAGCCTCGGACATCGTCTGGTACCTCCAGACCCACGGCAAGTGACACTTTTGTTTTATATTCGCAACTTTTTATGCTGGATCTCTGAGAACAAAAGACGATTTCTTAGTAAAAAAAAAACTGAACACAATCACAGACATACCGATTGTGTATTGTACTTGGTGATTGTACCTTCCCTTACCACCACCCTTATCGAATCCTTGTGCTCGTATTGCTAAAGAGCGCCTTAAGCTGTATCGCCTTCGTTGGAGTCTCAACCACTATACTTCATTATACCGCAATGGAATAATTTGAAATTTGGATTATATTACAGAGTACGAGAGAAATTTTTGAAACATACTTGACTTTTCGGTATTCAAGCTCTATTTAAAACAGAACAACACATGCATTTACATTGTAGGTTTAGGTAGAAACCTCAAGCTCAGGTTATTACTTATTAGGCATTCCGTGCGGTCGCTCAGAATATATACAAATTACTGCGATGACAACAAAAGAAAAAAATAGAACCCTAACGAGCCAGGTAATTACCAAGCCCAGTTCGACTGGACAATTATCTGAAATGAGTTTTCCCAACTGCATTATACCTATTTAATGGTAACTCTGGCTCCGATGACAACTTAAATACTGTGTGTGCGTGTAATTGCACACGAGCATACTGCACTAACACATGCCATTTGTGTTTATGTGGGCGATTGCGATTGCTACCAGAATTGTTGATACCGTCAAAATCACTTAGCCAATAAATCGCATGCAAAATTGTTTGAAGGTAAACTATCGTAGATGTGTGATTGTAAGATAATAGCGTTTCAAAACGGAATTCACCAAAAGAATTCACAGCCATACAAAAAAAAAAAAAAACAAAATTTTTTGGAAAGCATGAAGCACGATACTTCGCAAGCTTCAGACTGAACGCTAAATCCCCTTTGCAAGAGTATAACAAGAGAGAACGCTCTTGTCGAGTTCCTCGAGCGTGTCAGTTTAGGGCGACTTGTGTGCGATAGTCTGGGCGTTGAAATGTTCTGAAACAAACTTGCACAGCGTAGGCATCACTAGAATTTGCATTCTGAATCTGAACTAGCTCTTATAGCTCACATATGGACATTCATACGGACGGTAAGATGGACAAGGCCAGATCGATTCGGTTACCTATCCTGATCAAGAATGTAATGAGAATAAAATGAATATAACGAGAAACGAGTATAGAAAAATAATAAAATGGTAGAAGTTTTATTCTAGGATGCTAAAAGTAGGATGTATGAGACTACTTGATATATTTTGTATATCTTGTATACATATATACAAGATTTATATATATATTTTATATTTATAGCAGCCCTATTATCTTATTTTTTTCTTTTACCTTTCCTTATTTATTTAAAGGAATATTATTTTTTTAAGGTTAGTATCCATTTCTTGCTTTAATGCGATTTGTGTATGTATCATTTTTATTTTAATTTTTAATCTTTATTATTATTTTTTTTTTTTTTTTTAATTTTTAGTCTTTATTATTATTATTTAAAAAAAAAAAATTTTTTTTAATGGTGCCCATTGTTATTTTTTTTTAAATTCATATATTATTTTATTTATATAATTCATAGATTCTTGCTTCTTTTGAGGAAAACAATAAATTTGGCTGATTTATATGAACGGGCCTCATATAAAAACTTTATTTCATAATTTTAATTAATATTATTAATATTAATATTATTATTTCATTAATATTATTAATAGATTCTATTTTAAGTGATAATCACAATTTAATTTGGACTGAATGGTCTAATATTATTAATTCTTTTTAATAATCATATAAAAAAACATTATAAACGGAATGAGGACATAATATTATTACATTAATATTATTTATTTGCTTTGGGACTAACAGCACCTTTCGAACGGAACTTGCGACTGACGGCGGGACAACATGTCTACTAAAGAATAAATATATTTTAAATCATTAGAAAAGCTTACCCGCAAATGAGTTACAATTCTTTCGACGAATTCAGTATATATATAGGAATTGGGACAAAAGCTAAGAAAATTAAAAAAAATTAAAAATTTGTTTTAAGTGCGTGCATCGTTGTGCAGTCTGTGGGTATTACAAGAGGGTTTGCCAATATGTTTTCGGTATACCGATAGAAATTGACGAGACAAATAATAAAACGGAAAAAAATCAATACATTTTTTAAATGCCACATTTTTAACCTTTTAGCATTTATAGTTCCTGAGATCTCGACGTTTATACGGACGGACATCGCCAGTGATCCTCAGAATACTTATATTTTTATGTTATGTTGCATACCTTTCATAGCTTCTAGTATCTTCGAGTAACGGTTAAAAAAATGTATAAATTTAAATTCTAGCACAAGACGATAACTAAGTGTTTTTTTGCGCGCTTCGGTCGGGTTTCACGACACATCTCTCCATTCGCTAACAGATAGGTGCGGTATAGGAAACCGTAAGTATCGTGGAAAACATATAAAAATAAGTCAAATCTAATTTAATGTTAAAAATGTTAGTAATGATCGCATTAAAAGCGGTAGAGTCAGAATTAAAAATAATAGAATAAAGTATGTTATTATATAGTCAGAACACAATATTCTGAAGGGGTCATGTAAGTCATAGTTGGATTTTAAAATCAGAGGTACGTATTACTGATTTGCTAAAAATATTCCACATTTGTTCGGAGAAAGAAAATTAACATTTCGAAAATTGGAGCTGTTGGCCCCAACAATGGCTGTTGCCCCATTACTACTTTTGACAACCATTGAATTCTGGCTCAAAATAAGCATGATAATATGATACTCCGTTTAAAAAGATATTCATGAAACAAGATTTTAAATGCGGCTTTGAAATAAAAGCGTTTGTCCCTTTATTTCATTATTTATTCGGCTGTCTTTCTTTCTGTCCGTCATTCTGAATGAAATCTTTGTTTTGAAGTGTTGGAAGAACTTTTTCATTACTAAGCAGCTTAAGCTGGACATTTTTGGATCTGCTACTTTTTTAAAAAGTCACTATTTTTATCGTATTTTCGCGCAACATTAAGCGTCCTATGCGGTCCATTTGAAATTATTTGCTTTTAAATTATTTGTAAAATGTCTGTTATATGATTATTATTCGTCCGAAATGGTATCATGTATTTTTGGAGTCGTAGGTGCCATCGTCAATTTCATCTTACCACGTTAAGAGGCGATTTTGCAAAAATATTTATGCAGTTCGTGCATTATTAATTTTGATAAATACCATAACATATCAAAGCAATCACCAATAGATTGTAGAGATAAAGGATATCTGGCATTAGCTTCTGTATACTACATAATATGTTGTCAAATATATCCATTCCGCCTTTTGCATGCTATGCATGATTAGTTTGGATATTGCGTTCAACAGTTATAGACGTGTAAACATGGAGTTCACTAACGCCGAAATTCGCGCTATTTTAAAGTTTTCCTTCGTTAAAGGCAAATCCGCTAGAGAAACGTTCCGTGAGATTAATGGTGTTTTGGGGGATGGTACTCTATCACTTCGAACCGCGCACGAATGGTTTCGACGATTCAGAGCCGGTGAAAACGACACCATGGATAAGCCAGCCGGCGGAAGACCTGTGACGACAAATACCGATCAAATCATGGAATACATCGAGTTAGACCGGCATGTGGCATCTCGTGACATCGCCCAGGAGATGGGAGTTAGTCACCAAACCATTTTAAACCATCTGCAGAAGGCTGGATACAAATAAAAGCTTGATGTTTGGGTGCCGCATGATTTGACGCAAAAAACCTTCTGGACCGAATCAACGAATGCGATATGCTGCTGAAACGGAAGGAACTCGACCCATTTTTGAAGCGGATGGTGACTGGCGACGAAAAATGGATCACATACGACAATATCAAGCGAAAACGGTCGTGGTCGAAGGCCGGTGAATCGTCCCAAACAGTGGCCAAGCCGGGATTGACGGCCAGGAAGGTTTTGCTATGAGCTGTGAGTTTTCCACTATGAGCTGCTCCCATATGGCCAGACGCTTAATTCTACCATCTACTGCGAACAACTGGACCGCTTGAAGCAGGCGATCGACCAGAAGCGTCCAGAATTGGCCAACAGGAAGGGTGTAGTGTTCAACCAGGACAACGCCAGACCACACACTTCGTTGATGACTCGTCAGAAGCTACGGGACCTCGGATGGGAGGTTTTATCGCATCCACCATATAGCCCAGACATAGCGCCAAGTGATTACCATCTGTTCCTGTCCATGGCGAATGCTCTTGGTGGTGTAAAGTTGAACTCAAAAGAGGCTTGTGAAAAGTGGCTGTCCGAGTTCTTCGCAAATAAGGAGGGGGGTTTCTACGAGGGAGGTATTATGAAGTTGCCGTCTAGATGGAAACAGATTATCGAACAAAACGGCGCATATTTGAACTAAATCCGATCACTGTAACACTTTTTATAAAGCATTGAATAAAGAGCAAAAAATCTCTTTGACAACCTTATATGACAACCTTATACAACATAATGTGTATAGTATAATGCATAATGTGGTCGAGTGTACATAATTTTTCGTCAGAAAACTATATATAACTTTTTCATGTTTATCAGTTTTGACTTTGCTAAGAGGGGCTTCTGGGTAATTTTATTTACATTGCTGAACAAAATATTAGAAAAACAGGATTAGATCTGAGAAAAAATTACTTTAAAAATTCCGTGAGGATACTTTTTTAGTGTCCCAAATATTTTGTAGTCTATGAACTGTGAATTTGAACTATGGAGTTTTATTTCGTCACATATCTATAATCACACATCAAATGGGGCACAGTTCAGCATTCTATCAGCATTATAAGGAGCAGTCATTAAGAAGGTAATTTCAAATAATTTTTTGCATTGATAGGCATTGATCAAACGGATAATTTCATTTCATAATTTCATAACTTATATGAGCGTTTGTGTAAATAGAAAATGGTAAACATATATGTATACGACATAAGTAAGATACGTTGACTTTGATAAAGTTTAATTCACATTAATTGGAATTTTCAAATTGTCGTCCTGTTTTTATAACCTTGCAGATTGATTTCAGTCTGAAGTTTGCGACGCAGTGAAAGAGATATTTGTGACCATATAAAGTATATATATTCTTCCAGTATCAACAGTATCCGTTTCTACGCAAACCAATCTCTCAGTCTTTATTTGTTAA